AAAAAAAAAAAAAAAAGAATCAAGTAGGCGTGAGCCCCGGCCGCGCCTCTCCCCACCGCAAATGAAATTGAGCGGAATTGTAAAAGGCCGCGCTTCAAAAAAAAAAGGCCCGCGCTTCGACACCAAGCAATCATGGGCGTTCGGAACAAGACGAGTTTTTTTTTTTGGGTGGGGGGGATGGGGACCACTTCTCGTCGTATCCGTGTCATCCTTGCGTATGCGCCATGTATCCTTCAATTTATGCGTGTCATCCTTGCGCGGGGTCAGTTTATCCTTCCAATTTTTTTTTTGTTTTTTTGCTATCCTTCCAAATTCAATGGATGAATACAATGGATGAAGCTTTTTTTCTGACTGACGGAAATGAATGGTAACGAAGAGGAGAGGAGAAAGCGCGCGACACTGTCCGCGAAACGAAGGCGCATCACATGAGCTCTCGGCGGGGAAAGGCGCTGGAGACGACAATTGGCGGGAGGTGGGCGCGTGGAACATCCGCGGCCTGTGAGTAACCGCGTCCTCGGCGGTGGTGGTGGCCATAGCAGTTGAGATCCCGACGAAATTGCACGGCAGCAGTAGCAGCTGCAGGAGTACCGGTAGGGAGAAGACTCCGACGAGGCTATGCGGTCTTCGCGGCGGCGGTTTAATAAAACCCATAGGTAGGTAGGGCATCCTAACAACACCCTTCCGGGGAGTAGGTATATGACCCTATTAATGACCAGATTCGGCCGGTCGGCCGATAGATCAGTCTGCCTATCTAACCCCAGAGAGAGAGAGAGAGAGAGAGAGAGAGAGAGAGAGAGAGAGAGAGAGAGATGTTAGGAGGCCGTAAGTGGTGTGGCAGTTTTTGGGGTCTTCTTTTATTTCCGCGTGCAGTGGTGCTTACCTGCCCGGGGCTGCAATGTTGTGATATCCCAATACTTGGACGCTGTCGGAGCGTACGTACCTGGCCGGATTTGAGCCCGGGTACAGCTAACGCATCCCTCTCATTGGTGACCCAGGTTCATTCTTACAGGAAGTCCCCGTGGACAGTCAATTGTGGACCACTCTATTCCGGGAAAGGCGTGGTAAGCGCCTAATTCTCCCCTTGGATGGGCTTGAAGCGGGGGGGGTGGCATACGCGGGGGCCGGGGGAGGGGGGGCGCGCGCGAGACTGGGTGGCAAGGGCCGCATCATAGTTTGTTCTCTGCAGACCTGACCGCTGTTGATTGCACGCTCCTTCTCCATGCCCTGTGCGGCAGTATATATGTATATATATATATCATGTATATATATATAAATATCGTCACAAACAGAATATATATACAAGTACATACCACGTGTGAGCACATATCAGTATACTATATGTGTATATATATATATGGCCGAAGTGCAATTGCAAGCTGTATCTTGCCCCATAGTGCAATTATAACTCGTTTTTGTGACTCTACCCGGAAGTTACCCCAAGAGAAAAAAAAAGGCTCCCTCCTTCCTTTTTTTTTTCTTTTCTTTTTTTTCTTTTTTCGGGACCATCTCTCGATTTATGGGTGTCACCCTTGAATGCCCAGGGGCCATGCTAATCTCGATTTATGCGTGTCCCGGGGTGACGTCCCACTAGCAAGGAGGGTTGGATAAATATCCTGAATCTGGACGTGTTTTAAACACAGATGTGGGAAAGCAGTTCAATCTCGACATTCTGCTTCTATCCACAAACAAGTCCAGATTCAGGTGTTCAATCCAATCCTCTTTGCTAGTGGGACCTCGCCCCCGAAGGACTCCTAGGCCGTTTGGCTAAGATATTTTTTTTTTTTTTTTTGGGAAGCTAAGATGAATTGTAGTATCTGATCTGACCACATTTCGACTCTTTAAAAAAAAAAAAAAAAAAAAAAAAAGCAGAGATCCTTCCATCAGAGGCCTAGTTGACCGCCTGGACAGAGAGCTGGCGCCCCAAATCGGGGTCCCTATGGGCGCCGGCCATCTCAATCTGCTGAGGCGCCCCCATCGGGAAATTATATCCTTGATTGTACCACGGGATATCATGGGCACCATACGAAAAGAAAAGGAAACACAAGAAAAGAAAAAGGGATATATCGTGGGCACTATACACCGAACGTTTCTTTTTTTTCCCTCCTATTTGGTTAGGAGGCCCTTAGCATACYCCTGCCCAAGGATGACCCGCCGGGGGCGAGGCCGCACTTAACCGGATCCTTCATTTCTGACCGTTCATCTTCATAATCTACGGTCAGAAATCGAAACCTCGGAGTAGCGGACTTGGCCCTCGCACATTTGCCGAGATTATATGGCAGTCCTTTTTTCCCGCCAATGGCAAATACACTTTGTTTGAAATTTGAAAAAAAAGTCAAAACAAACCAGCGGGCCTATCTCAGTGGGTACACCTATGAACTAATAGGCAGCATGTCTTTAATTGGATTTCCTTTTTTCAAGTTTTTTTGTTGAAATACAGACACAGATACCCATTGGGTCTGTCTTTCAGTTCTGCGATGATATCTAAAGGCCGTCGCCGGAGATAGGAGGGACGAAGTTGGAGGCGGCGCCGTAGCGCTCAAATCCGGCGACGCGAGCGCTTTATCATTTAGGTTTTTTTGCTTGCCATCGCGGAGTTCGATCGTCATGCCCCGGGGCGCTTAGCACGGGGAAGGCGAGTTACACAGCTGTCGGGCTTGACTGTGAGTCCAAGCATGGGTGACATGAACTTGTCCCAGGGATGTGGCGTGGAGAGGTGGTGGTGCGGTTAGGGTCAGCGGAGTTTCTCTTCCAAGATACTATCCTGAACTTTTCGAACCGAAGATCGCTGTAGTGACAGCGAGCTTCCTATGGAACCTGTTTCCCTCCTATCGTGAA